ACTTGTTTTTTAGTTCAATTTAATATTTTGGAGATTTACACCAAATAAAGAGTTATCAGCATAAATCATGAACCAACTAGATGAATATGTTTCATATACCTTGGTGGTTAAACAAGCTTTGCTGATTAACTGATTTTCAGACCTAATAAGTACCTATTTGACATGTGAGGGTTATGAGAATTGTGTACATAATCCTTTGAATCTTTTAGAGTTACTCGGTATCTATGTTAGCAGGAGATAACATATATCATGTGAAATTAGTTAAAATGTGTGTAAGCTAGTCCAAATATCACGATTATCTCAAATCCTTTAGATCTTTTGAGAGCATAGAGAGACAACCATTGCCTTCTTTATGCAAAGTTGGGAAGAACAAAATAGCATAAGGACAAAACAAGACATTAATTAGTTTTATTTAATTCAATAATAGCTAGAATAAAATTAAGAAAAGAAGAAACAAAAATCAACATTAAGTAAATGAGCTAGGTTTCATTACTCCATATATATATAATAATAATTATAATAAAGTTAATATGTGAGACAATGACACTAACATATACTAGTCTTAGTCTAGAGGTGGTTAGGTACTAAAATATCTAGATTATACTATTAATGTTATGTGCATTAATTAATGAATGCAGACAGCAAATCTGAAATAATATATAGGTACAATATGTTGGCAATTATAAAGATACAATTACGTATGATACACGTGAAATATATATTTCTAAGAACAAATTATTAATTTTAAGTGAGGTCAAATAAAATCTATGCTAATTTCATCATATCTTTACCATTTCATCAATAGAAATAAGTGTAAAGAAAAGGAACATTCTCCCTTATAGAACTAGACTTTGGCACAATGTTGTTTGCTAGCTAGTTTGGAGAAATATTATACATATAGTAGATTTTTCATAATTATGTTTAGTAGCTGATTAGGACTATATATAAAATTAAGGCCAAATTAATATGGTGGTTGATTTGTAATTTAAAAATCTGCATAACTAATATATGTATAAGTTATGAGGAAATTTATGTATAATTTTATACATGTATGATAGAAGATGGAACAACTAATATATGAATAACTAAACCCTGCATAAAATAATAAAGAAATTTCTTCCTAACTAATCCATTTATTACTAATATTTGCATAATTCTAATCAGCAACCAAACAACCCCATAATTGGTCTTCTCAAATTAATCGTGACCTCATTGTTATTAACACAAAGGAGACATCTGTACTTAATTAACTCTTATTTATTAATTATTGTGGTATGACAAGACTTTGCAGTCAATAATAAAAAATTTAATAGAAGAACTAATTAATACTCAAATCTTGTACGTTACTTTTCATATTAAAATACAACTCTTAATCTTGTTTTCCCAACCGTTATGTCCACAATATTTGGAGTAGAAATATTTTAGAAGCAAAATGTACGAATTATATTAATTGATGCATAGTTAATTAGATTATAGTTTGTGAATATTTATTTCTGTTTCAACATAATTAAAAAAAAACGTAATCTACATTGGCTGAATTTCTGTAAGCAGTGACATCATAATAATAGCTAATTGACATTGAAATATGGTGACTTTGACAGTTAATTAATCACTACCTATATATTTTTTCATCTTAAAGAGGACACGCAAACTTAATTACTATCAATTTAGTGGTTCTCATAAATATTTAAATGGATATAAGTTCACGTCCATCAAAGTATTGGTGGAAGAGACCTCCATCAAACAAAGATGGCAAAGATACTTTCACAAACTTTTAAATGAAGAAGGGGACGGAGACTTTGTGTTGGGTGATTTGGCGCACTCTAAAAGACTTCGGGACTTTGGGTACTGTAGGTGTTTTAGGATCGAGGAGGTTATACGTGCTATTAGTAGGATGAGCAGGGGAAGAGCGACCGGATCCGATGAGATTCCGGTGGACTTTTGGAAGAGCACGGACAAGGCAGGTATAGAGTGGTTAACTGGGCTGTTTAATGTTATTTTTAAGACAGCAAAGATGCCTGATGAATGGAGGTGGAGTACAATGGTTCTGTTGTATAAAAACAAGGGTGATATCCAAAACTGTAACAACTACAGGGGTATCAAACTGTTAAGCCATACTATGAAGATTTGGGAAAGAGTGGTGGAGATGAGGGTGAGAAGAGGGGTGTCCATTTCTGAGAACCAGTTTGGATTCATGCCAGGACGATCAACTACCGAAGCCATTCATCTTATGCGAAGAATGGTAGAAAAATATAGAGAGAGGAAGAGAGACCTATATATGGTGTTCATTGACCTTGAAAAGGCCTATGACAAAGTACCGAGGAATGTCCTCTGGAGGTGCTTGGAGGCTAAAGGTGTCCCGATGATTTATATTAGGGCGATAAAGGACATGTACGGTGGAGCCAAGACTCGGGTTAGAACGGTTGGAGGAGACTCAGAGCATTTCCCAGTTGAGATGGGGCTGCATCAGGGATCAGTCCTTAGCCCTTTTCTATTTGCTTTGGTGATGGATGAGTTGACGCGGTCTATTCAGGAGAAGGTCCCATGGTGTATGTTATTTACGGATGACATAGTACTGATCGATGAGATGCGGGACAGAGTTAATGCGAGGCTGGAGGTGTAGAGACAAACGCTGGAGTCCAAAGGATTCAGGTTGAGTAGGACCAAAACGGAATATTTGGGGTGCAAATTCAGTGAGGCGTTGGATGAGGCAGATGGGGAAGTGAGACTTGACACACAAATCATTCCTAAGAAAGAAAGTTTTAAGTATCTTGGGGCTGTAATACAAGGAAGTGGTGACATCGATGATGATGTCACACATCGCATTGGGGTTGCGTGGATGAAATGGAGGCTTGCCTCTGGAGTCTTGTGTGATAAGAAAATCCCGCCTAAACTTAAAGGTAAGTTCTACAGAGTGGTAGTTAGACCGGCCTTGTTGTATGGAGCGGAGTGTTGGCCAGTCAAGAACTC